GGGGGGGGCCAGGGAAGGGGACCTGATGGGGGGGCCCAGGGAAGGGGACCTGATGGGGGGGCCAGGGAAGGGGGAACTGATGGGGAGAGAAGGGGAGGCGTCACGGAAAGGAAGGGGCTAAGGATTGGGCGAGGGGGCCCTCGGTGGCCTTGGGGCCGGCTCCCATTCCGGTCCCTGGCCTCCCTCCGCAGCCGACGGTTCGCCCTCCGCAGAGGAAGATGTCAGCGCCAGGAGGCCCGAGGAGGAGGAGGAGGGGGAAGAGGGGGAGGAAGAAGAGGCCGAGGCCCCGGAGTGGCAGGCCAGCAGCGCCCCCCCTGCTCCGCCCCCACCGCCCTCTCCGCCCCCGCCCCCGCCCCCGCCCGCCCCGCGCAGCCGGGAGCAGAGGCGCAACTACCAGCCGCGCTGGCGGGGCGAGTACCTGATGGACTACGACGGCCGGCGGCGCGGCCTGGTGTGCATGGTGTGCGGGGGCGCGCTGGCCACGCTCAAAGTCAGCACCATCAAGCGCCACATTCTGCAGGTGCACCCCTTCTCCATGGAATTCACGGCGGAGGAGCGCAAGACCATCCTGGAGGCCTACGAAGAGGCGGCCCTGCGCTGCTACGGCCACGAGGGCTTCGGGCAGCCGGCGCCGCCCGCGGGGGGCCCGGACGGGGACGTCCAGCCGGGCGCCGTGTGCCGGGCGTAGCGCGGATGGGCCGGGCTCAGCGCGGTGGAGCCTCTGCCCAGCCCCCCCCCCCCCCCCCCCGATCTTCCTCCCCAGTGAAACCCTGAACCCTCTTGGGTACCCCAGACCCCGCTGGGAGGGCGCCCCGTCTTCCCGGGGCAGCCCCGCCTGGCCCCCACTCGGCTGCCTCCCCGCTCCGTCAGGGGCCCCTTTGCTTTCTGATGTTTACCTCCGTGGCCGTCCCCGGCTTCCCTTCCTTGTCCCCCAACCACCCCTTTCCTGCCCGCCCCCTCCTTCTACCGACCAGGGTCGAGTTTCTCCTGAGTTATAGGTGATCTCTCCCCATCCCAGATGGGTCCTCCGTGGACCAGAGAGAAATAAGGAGCGGGCGCCGGAGAAGCAAGCCTTCGTTCGATCCCCAGCCGCCCCGCCCCGCAGGGCCCAGGGAGCGGCTGTGGAGTGGGGCCCCTGCTTCGGAGCTGCCCAAGGTGCTTCAGAGAGTGGGAGGAGGAGGCCAGGGCGGCATGTGCCAGAGCCCTAGGTTGCTTGGCCTCCCCGTCACCCCCGCCCCCCTCATTGCCCTGTCTTGTGGCTCTTTCCTGAGCGGTTTTAGGAATGTGAACTTCTGGGCCCTGGCATTAAGCATGAAGCCCAGTGAGTGTGCCTGGCCCTGACTTCCCACCGTCCAGTGGGGGAAAGAGGTTGAGTTAGGAATGCAGACTCCGGGAGGCCCCAGAGAGGAGTTCCTGGGGTACCCTAGACCTGACCTCCCCTTTCAAGATGGGTATCCGTTGTTCACCGTTCAGTATTAGAGCCTTCCACCCTCCGGCCCTTTCCTTCTGCATAGGGGGTGGTGTCTTGGCCAAGGTCCTCATTGCTCTGCTCCATTGCACATGACCTAGAAAGGAACCATCCCAGAAGGTGGTGTTACAAGCCCCCAGCCTCACTACTGCAGGTCGATTCCCGGCACTGGGTGGGCTGATGATGGCAGCCTGGCCTTCCTGGCCTGTGTTTGAAATGGGAGGGGTTTTGTGAAGACGTTGACTAGGTACCTTCCTACCTTGCCCCGTCCCCTCAAGTCCCAGGGTCCGAGGATGCCAGCTGGGTCGTGTGTCCCAGGTCCTCCCCACTCTGCTCCCCTTGCCATTCCAGTTGGGTTTTCCTGGCTCTGAGCGTGACAGTATTATGACGGCAAACAGGTAGTCTCTGGGAACCGGGAGGGGCAGAGACCCTGGTCGTCAGTTTCAAAGTTTTAGCACTTTTTTTTTTTTAAATACCCTTTTCCCTTTCGTTTGGGTCTCATCGACCTCATTCTGCCCAAAGCTACTCATTTCTGAGAAGCTGAAAGGTAAGGACCCTGCCAACTCGCCCTCTGCTTCTAGGCCTATCTAGATGGTACAAGCTTGGGGGAAGAGGCAGTCCTGTCCCTTATTATATTCCATTCTCCCAACCTTACCCTTCCATCTCCCCATGGCTGGGGGGTAGGGGCATTCACATTTCTGGGCTGGGCAGGTCAGAAAAATTGGCCAGGTAGTTGGGGCCTGAATATTTTAGGGAGTGGGGGTTTACGATCATCTAGGCAGGTCCAAGTTTGGGGTGTTTCGATTCATTCTCTCCTGTGGAGAAAAGGTGGCCCCAAGATCAGGCCCTTGGCTCTTATTTTTTATTTTATTTGGAAAACTATTTAATGCTTTTATATGAAGGGGGAGGGGGGGAGGGAGCTGGCCATCACCCTTATGTGCAAATGTCTTTATTTATTATTCGTGTATCAGAGATAAGCTGTGAGGTGCACCCCAGGAGACTGTTTCTTACATTGCCCTTGGGGAAGAAGGCAGAGTTCTGGACCACTGAGGGAGGATGGACGTGGGAAAAGAATGGGAGGGTAGCTCCCCAAGAGATCCAAGGACAGCAAGGACTGAGACAACTCAGTCACAAGTGCTTCTCTGGGCCCCCAAGTTCTAACCTCTAGAAAGTGAGGCTTTAGGGAGTTGAAGGGTTTTTCCTCAGGGGCTGTCACTTTAGAGAAAGGTGACTGTGGAAGAGGTATTGTCTTTGGGTTGACGGATGAGCTGATGGGTTCTTGAGCCAATACTGTACCGCTAAGCAACCTGCTGTCCAGAAAGTGTGGGGGCCCCTGTAGATGGTCAAATCTAGGGGGCCCTGCCCAAAGCCACAGGGCTTGAGTTCATGTAACTGGAACTGAGCCTTTCTTCCTGGATCCAGAGTCTACTTCTGATGGGAAACTGCTGGTTAAGGACACTGGGCTGGCTGTCAGGGACTCTGAGGTATCCTGGATATGATCGGTAGCTGTTGGTGTTTGCTGAGTTCTTTGAAGTAATCCTGCCTTGCCAACCTTTTTCCAAAAGTGCCCCATCAGTGGTCCTCTTGAATGGGATTGCTTTTATGCCAGGACAAAGGGGAAATGTTGGGGATTACTTTTGTTATGAATGGAGGTCTCTCACAACTCTAAAAATTCTGATCTGGGATGTTCAGATTTCAAAATCTATCCACACTACTAATTAAGAATATTAGCTGGACCTGTTCAGTATAACATATGTAATTCAGTATAATCTGGGTCTGTTCAAAAAGGGAATCATGAATGCCTCCAAACTTAAGGTATTTTTCTGAAAAATATCTTGCTTGCCTAAGAAGGAAATTGCCTGTTGGGTGGGCACCATTCCCTTGATACTCATGGAATACCTAAGTGTGTCAGAGCTGGGAAGAGACCCCAGTGATGACTAAGGTCCTCCCTCCCTCCCCCCTTTTACAGGTGAGGAAGCAGGGAAGTTAAGGGACCCAAGAGCCAGGGAACAAATCCAGTCTTCAGTAGAAACAAGCCAGCACCTGAGCCAATCCCATGTGCCAACCCAATGAGTCCAGCAGTTTAGGGCAACCATCAGACTGCTATCCTTAAACCCAGCTCCCATCTCAGTTACGCCTGGGTGGAGAGCAGGCTAAGCCTGACTAAGAAACCTCCTTCTGCCCCCAGGGGCACCAGGCACACTGGGGTGGAAGGCTTTGTCGACCAACTGAGCCCCAAGTGTTCCCAAACAGGTGCTGGAAATTCTAATAAATTTCCATTCTGAGTATTATCAGGTCCCCTGATTTCTTCCCCAAGGTGGCACCATTTGCATATTACAGAAGCTGTGGCAGAGGGGGTTAGTGGGCAGAGCCCTGGTGCTGTGGTGGCTGAGGCGTGCTGCACGCCAACCCAACACTCTGCCTCAGTAGTCTTCGCGGTTGATGTGTCTTCATGAACATTTTTTAAGACGGTATGCTTGCTGTTATAGCCAATATGTAAATGTTACTCTGAATATATATTTATATGCCATGTTACTACTTAGTGACATTATCCAAACATTTGTATGCGTATTTGTGAAAAGTTGTTTGCATCCATTTTTTTATATCTGCCTAAGTTTTGTAAAAGAGGTATGTTGAATAAATTCTTTAAAAATGAAGAGCTGTGGTTCTGCTGGGTAGATGGTCCAGAGAGATGGAGTGAGGCAGGAATTCAGAAGTTCTACAATTTCTTCAGCAGACCTTATGGTGTTAGGACTGGGAAGCAAATGAAGAGTCCATCGTTAGCCGGTCCCTACACTTGGCCATCCTTTATGGGTGACTGAGGATCATGATTTTGCCCAAGCCTCCCAAATTCCCATCCCGAATGTGGCTTCAAACCACATGCCTCCATTTTCCTCTTTCGAGAGCACCCTCCTCACGATTAGCCCAAAGTCCTGGGGAATGTGGGATGTTTTCATTGCTAATGATCCCCGTAGCAAGAGAATGCACCAGCCTGAAGCAGGGATACCCGTGCAACAACAAACTAGACCAGAAGCTGTTCCAGCTGGGTACAATGTACCAGGGCTAATGCTCCAGGGGCACAGCCCTTGAGGGACCAGGATCCCCTCCACACCAGGAGACATCTAAGCAGAGCTAAGTGTCTGCTCTCCTCCCACCCCACCCTAGGTCATCAGCCCCTGAAGGTGGATGCATGCCCAGCACACGGCACAGACCCTCCGTGCCCCCCGGGAAGTGCTTCACGTGTGCTAAGTGACATTGATGTTTCAGACTTTGGGGCTTCTGTCAGGTGGATCACAAATGTGTTTGTGGTCTGGGGAACAAGCTGTTGAGACAAAAAATCGAGTCAGCCAGAATCACAGACATTGTGTTCTTTTTATTAATACCACATCAATTTGCAGTTTGACAGGAACCAAGATTCTCCAGGCTCCTTGGAAGGGCTGCTACTGTATTTTATGTTGCACGCACATACACGCACACACACAGAGCTTCATTAGTAGTTTTTTGTCTACATTTTTTTCCTTTAAAAAAAAAAAAACAACAACAAAACCTGCCTGGCACAAAGATCTGTCCAATGATCAAAACACAGCAGTAATAATAGAAGACAGAAGCGCAAGGCATAGAGGCTCCTGGGGCGGAAAGAGGTCCTCTGGAGGGGAAGCCCAATGACTGTCAGGGCCCTGGAGGAGGGAAAAAGGCTCAAGAGGAACATGACACACGGGGAGGGACGATGCCGTCTCTAAGCTCCCAGCACCAAAGTCTTCCTACTACTCAGCTAAGATCCCTAAAAAGGAGTTTTTCAACAAAGAGAGAACTTTTCCTATGCTACTTTCTACTGAGCTGCAGTTGTGGGCCTAGAAAAAATGGGTCCATTTCCTCCAAATGTTCCACGTTCACTACTTAACACCTTTGGCAGCTCACATGTAAACTCAGCAACAAATGTATTAATGGAAATCAAGAGCTTCCCAAATCTACTGTCAGAAGAAAATGTTAGGAGGGAGGAAAGAAAGACACTTCTAGCAGAGCCCCAAGTGCTAAGTAAATCTCACAGCAGCAGCTGAGTTAGGCCCAGCTGCTCTGCACCATCTGTCCTCTGACTGGATATGGTCCTCACCAAGGTGACCTGGCACCTCACCAACCCTGCCTCAGGAACCCCTGGTCCTAGAGGCTCCAGCTAGGACCTGCTTCATCACCACGTCATGAGGGACAGTTTGGGCCAAGGCAAATTTTGAAGAGACATATTCTCCACTCCCCCCCCCATAAAAATGAAGAAAATCTTCAAAATAAACATATATAACCTCCAAAATGCAAAGCTACCCTCAAAACAAGGTTAGACTCCATGTAAACCACAAAATGTACTTCTATAAACTAATCTGCATTTTGTTCTTCTGATTAAAAAAAAAAAAAAAAAGGCTTTATTTCCTCCTCCCAAACCCATGCTGCCAACCAAAACCCCTTGTTCTGGGAGTCAGAGGTTTTTTTTAGTACAGCTCAGGCAAACTGCTCCTTAGGGCAAAGATCAGAAAGGTATGTGAGGGCAGCCCATCGGAGAACACACAACAAACAGGGCAAAGAAGGGAGATGGAAGAGGTGGGTCATGTTTCACAAGTTCCTCTTAGCATGTTCCCCAACCCCCGGACTGAGATAGAATTACAACAACTGAGGAGGCCACATGCAGATTATTTTTCTCTAACAAGTTTACAGCAGTGTACAGCAGTTACAGACTTTTTATTTCATAATATGAAAAGTACAACCTTATTAAACTTGAAGTGAGGTGGGGGAGAGGGAGGAAAGCACAATATAGGAATGAGTTATAGAAGACTAAAGCTCAGAACTGGTGTCAGAAAAGGAATACGACAAACGTCTACTTCTCAAAACGGTAGTTCCTTAACTGTTTAGGGAGGAGAGAGTGGCAGGCTGAGAAGGGTTCCTTTTCTGGGTTTCCTTCTGGTCCTTGTTCTCCAGTACCAATATCGTGCTCATCAGACAGAAGGTAGACCATTACTATTTCTAAGTTATTAAATGGAACGGAGAGCTCTACCTTTTCAGAGGTTCCATTAGAGAGAAGACAGCCACGAGAAGAACAAGGACCATTATGTGCTGGCCTTTCCCACAGTGGGGCAGGAAAATGAGGTCAAAGAGGTACAAAAGACCTAGAAGATGTGAAATACTAAAGTCCTTTTATGCCCATACTCCTGTCCCAAAATAATTTGCCAAAAATAAAAACAGTTCTCTTTTAATTTAAAAATAAAGATAAGCTGATGATGAGAGATTGGTAAAGACCAGTCTGTGGGAATTAGGTGGTCGGCCTCTTTCTTGCTCTTCCACCCTCCCCATTCCACCCCACCCCTACCCAGCTAGCTATGGATTTATCCCACCAATGTGATCCTGTGGATTCTAAGACATCAGTTCTTTTTAGTCCAGAATGTTCTTGTGCTTGATACTGAGGGCAAGGATGAGGGAGGGGAAAAATACCAATTAAAAAAAAACAAACTTGGAATGCAGGCTCAAGCTGACAATGAGCATACTCCTTCATAGGTACGAGTAACAATGGTTACAAACTATTAAATGGTGTTTTAGTGACTGTTTCATTTCCAGTTTCTGAGTTGTTATTCTGCCTTTTTCTTTGCAATGCCAGGCAGTTTTGCTTGGATCCTATATGAGAAGAAAAACAAAAGAAAAAAATGACGCAACCTCTAGAATAAAACATTTCATCTCTAACACTAGGTGAAAGAATCCTAATTTGTGATTTACATACTAAGTATTAGAGCTGTAATCTCATCAGGGTAGGGATTCCCCTGATGTGGGAACTCCCTTTGCCCACACAGATTTCTATTCATGATTCAGCTGGTCAACACTAGAAGGCGAGTTAACTTGCCCAGAGTCACACACCTATTCAGTGTTGAGGCAGAATTTGAATTCAGGTCTTCCTGACTTCAAACTCCCTGTTTGCCTCAGTTTCCTCACCTGTAAAATGAGCTGGGGAAGGAAATAGCAAACCAGTCCAGTGTCTTTACCAGGAAAATCCCAAATGGGGACAGAGTCAGACACAACTGAATCGAATAAACAACAACAACGATTCTTTTGTGTTTTTGTTCAATTGTGTCCACCTTTTCATGACATACTGTCCGTGGGGTTTCTTGGCAAAGATAATGGAACGGTTAGCCGTTTCCTTCTCTGTTGGATTAAGGCAAACAGAGGATAAGTGACTTGCCCAGGGTCACAAAACTAGTTAAGTGTCTAAGGCCAGATCTGAACTCAGGTCTTCCTGACTCCAGGCGCAGCACTCAATCCCCTTAGCCACCCTATCACAGGAGTAAGTTTTAGAATGTTTCAGGAGAAGAAGTTTAGATGTGCCAGGAAGTATTTTCACACTGTAGCAATAAAAAATACTTACTTTGCAACAACTGCCTTGGTCTGATCACGAGCAATGCCAACATAATGGTCAATCTGCGTCTTTAAGGAAGAAAGACGGCGCAATTGTAAAAGCAGACAGAACGTTAAGTCTCTTTTAAGCAATTCCTCCCCTGAGTTAAGTCCTTTTCCTCTAATGTAACTATCTTCATCTAGGCAAAGGAGGAACACAAAGCTGAAAAGCCACAGGAAGAGCTAACAGTGAATTCTTCCATGATTTGGGGACATAGTTTGGATTTTTTATTTTCTGTTACAAATGTTCCTCACTCACTGAAGCCCTAAGCTTGAGAGCACCTCTACTGAGGTGCTCCCCTAGAAGGCTATGGGAATTTATAAGGATAAAAGTATGAAACGGGTTTTCAACGTCTAATATACTGAAATCAATCATTTTTCAATAACATTTTATCTGAAACAGTCAAAATCACTTACCTTATACTTTTCATAGACAATTGGAACACTGAAGACCAGCAGTTCAGCTGTAAGAAACAATGTTATGTAAGGAGGAAATGTATGGCATAATCAAAGCAATATACACACCTCTTAAATCTGAATGAAAGAAAACAGTTCTAACTTCTGATTCACAATAACTCCCAGAAAAGAAATCTAAATTAAGAATGTAATCTGAGCTTTAGGGGGATGCAGGAAAATAGCGGCATCCCAGTAAACATGGTTTGTGAAGGGCACTTGGGGTCAAGGCCATGTGGCACAGGAAAGACAAGGACAGCGCTGGGCCAGCCTCTGTGCCCACTCACAAATACGTCAGTGCCTGTAACAACTGCTGGGGACAAAGGCAAAAACAGGGCTGGGTTCACCCCCGCCCTCAAGGACTTCTCATTCCAATGGAAGAGATGACCCATCACTAACTAGGAAGAGAAATCACACACAGACACACAGACACACACACAGACACACACACGGACACACACAGACACACAGACACACACACACACACACACACACACACACACACACACACACACACA